ACTCGCACTGTTGCAGAAGTGAACTTCGATTACTGCCTTAAAAATACTGCATCGTTATCTTTACCCATAGATATTGAGTTACTTGAGTACTATCAGATAAATCAGAGGTTGAATCTTCTTTTGTGGATAGGTTTGCTTATAGTATATGATAGAATAGAATAGAATAATTTTTATTCAATATTGATTGTATGTTAATTCTTATTGAAAGTCATTTTAAACTTTTATCACTGGTGTGGATTCTGTTACACCCTTTATTATTAATATTTTTGTACCTACTAAACTTTGTTACTTATAATTTCTGTAACTACCAAAAAATTTTACTGATATCGATTTCAGTCAGCTATCAAGTTCATAATTGTGATTTGTAGGAACATTCTGTGACTTTAGAAATTTAAGACATAACTTATGATCGTGGTCATCGCTTGATTATTAATTATCTCTGGGTGAAAAGAGAGAGATGAGAGAGAGAGAAAGAAACGCTTTAAGAATGACTTTAATAGGCTATTTGACTAATTTTGGAAAACCATTTTAAATGATTCTTTATTACGTAATAAGCATACTACATTGATATTTCCGAGAGATCTACTGTATTAACAATAAAAATCAAAGTTAAAGTTTAAATTTCCAAAACCGCGGCAAAAACGCTTATTCTGTAATGGCGCTGGTCATATTCCGTGTGACGTCACACACAAGTAAAAAGGTCAATAACCCTAATAAAACAGTGCAGCTGAAGTGAATTTTATTATTTTTCTTCAAATTTATTCGATAAAATGGTGTATAAATGGTGTGTAGTGCCACAATGTACTAATACGACTATAAGTAGTCCACACAAACTGTTTGTTTCTGTTCCAACGAATCCCAAAAGACGAAAAATGTGGTTACGATTAGCTCGAAGAGACCCAAAGAGCATTTTAGCTCATACCAATGTTTTTATGTGTGAAGATCATTTTAATGTAAGTAATATATAACTTTATATATACTAGACTAGATGGTAGCCTAATATCGGTTTTTGTATAAAGTAATAACATCTTTAATACCCAACCTCCAAATATGGCTTAATCTTACAGCATAAGTTGGAAGGATACTTTTCACCCAAACCCTACAGGGTTCCCTGTAGGGTTTCATATGTTATCTGTTATGTTATTTAGCTTTCTTAATAATTTTCTTATGCTGTCTTGTAATGTTTATTGTCTTGTCAAACATAATATAGATACTTCACTCCTTACATTGGCAATAATGTTGAATTACAGATGGAAAAGGACACAATTAACTACTTGAAGTACAAAATGGGCTTCAGTCAGAAGATACTTTTGGCAGATGAGGCTGTGCCAACTAAATTTCATTGTCAAGAGGATCGTAGAAGTCGGCTACCTGATGCTGGACCTTCTCGAGAAGTTTTCTTTAAAAGGCAAAGAATTGATATTGTCACAGAATGTCTGCGAAGACATAGTACTACAACCCATACAGAAAGCTTACAAAATGATGATATGATACAAGAAATCATTGAGCCTAAAGGTTATGTTATCTATATAATACAAATGTCATAAGATATTTTTTCACATTTAAATGAGTTAAGTTTATGTTATTCACATTTAAATTAAGTAATTAATTTGGTTTTTTGTCTTTTCAGAATTACCAAAAACTCAAGACAAAGAAACAATCACCGACCCTATCATAACTGTAGAAAAAGCTGTTCAAGCAACAAAAAAAGTGAATACGCATTTTAGGAGCAAGGCTGTGCAAACTAGATGCCAAAATAAAAGTATTTCTACCTCACCATGGAAAGTTTCTACAATATCTCATTTCACTTCACCAATTAATATTAAACCATGCCATCTTCAACCATTACAGTCAGAGGTTGTTAAAGCAGTTAAGAGAAATATTTTCCTTGTAGATGAAAAATCTGATAGTGATATTTCTTGTTTTGAAAGTGGTCTTTTATCACCTTTTGGAGCTACATCAGTAAAGGTTACTGACTCTGATAGTAATGTTACAGATACCAATGAGAATATTGAAAAATTACAGTGCCTCAAAAATACTTTGCGTTTAATTGAAAAGAAACCATTGATGTATATTGGTATTTCCAAAGAATGTTATTTTTTAATTGAGTTGTTGCATAGACACACAAATATAAATAGAGAACATATTTTGCTATGCTTGAAAAAAATTAGATTAAACAGCACATTTTCTGAACTCGAGGATAATTTTGGTATATCATTATCTTATGCCAGTAAATTATTTTTAAGAAACTTACCAATAATAAGTAGTTTTTTAAAACCATTCATTGTAAACTTAGACAAAAATTTAATAAAAAGGAATCTTCCTATTGCATTTAGACATAACTATCATAATGTAAGCTGCATCATCGATTGTCTAGAAATTGATATACAAAAACCATCAAAGGCTCTTCATCAGGCTCTGACATGGTCAGAGTACAAAAAGGGGAATACTGTGAAGTATTTAATATCATGCACACCTAATGGTTTGGTTAATTATGTTTCTCAAGGGTTTGGGGGTAGAGCAAGTGATGTTACCATAGTAGAGAACTGTAACTTTCTAGATGGATTACAACAGGGAACTTGCATCTTAGCTGACAGAGGCTTCAAGCACCTTGAACAGATACTTCATGAAAAGGGCATAAAACTATTAAGGCCACCCAGTGTAAATGCTGGTGCAAAGTTATCAAAAACTGAAGTTCGACAAACTAAAATAATCGCTAGCTTGCGAATTCATATTGAAAGGGTAATTAGGCGAGTAAGAGAATTCCATATGCTAAAGCAACATTCAGTGATAAATACTAACATATGTCGTGTACTTGATCATGTCATTATTATTGCATGTGCTCTAATAAATTTGCAGGATTCTCTTATTAAATAATGTGAAATCATAAATAATAAAACAAGAAATACATCATGATTTTTATCGGCTGATATTGAAGCTATATTTGTTTTGCAAAAGAGAGCCATACGGGCGATTTATAACCTAAATTGTAAAGAGTCCCTCAGAGAAAAATTTAAAGAAATAAGCATATTAACTTTGGCATCGCAATATATTTATGAGAATGTAATGTATGTGCATAAAAACATAAATAGCTTTAATAAGAATAAGGATGTGCATACTTTAAATACTAGGAACAAACATAAGCTTGTAATGCCAGTAACTAGACTCCACAGAATCAGTAATTCATTTATGGGGCAATGTATACGCTTTTACAACAAAATCCCAGAACATATTCAAAGTTTGTCAATAAACAAGTTTAAAAGTTTTATTAAAGAAAAACTGTACAAAAAGGGTTATTATAATATCAAGGAATACATGAATGAAAATAACCCCTGAGAATAGGGTGATCGCCACCATGCTGGTTCTATGAAAAATCATTTAAAAATTGTATAAATAAATTATTTTTAAGTGAAATTATGTTTAAAAAAAAAAGTCCCGCTGGGTTTCTTGCTGGTTCTTCCCAGGACTGAGGTATTTTCCGAACCAGTGGTAAATAAAAAATTACTTTCAATAAGTATTATGTAATAATCAATATTGAATAAAAAATTATTTTATTCTATTCTTATTCTATTTAATCATTATCACTGAAAAGGAAAAACGGGCCTCCATCGCCCGTCCTGCGGCAGAGATCAACCAATTAGTGTCCTATTCACAGATCCTAATACCACACGACGTTGGGTTCCCTGACCCCTGAGTAGGTGTGCAACTCGGGGCAACATAAAAATTTTCAAATATTTAGCAAAATATAACAATTTTACAAGCTATTTTTAGAGTCATAAATCTTAAATATCTATCACACACATTCAAAACAATGATCTTTATTAATAAGCATGAATATCTTAATACAATTGTTTAATTCAAAAATTAAAACTTTTAAGCAGTATTAAAACTCTTTATTTTTTTTTTAAAATACTAGTAATGCTATTAAACCTTACTAATATTCCCTTTAACCACTTCTGGTAAGCTTAAAATGCTTGTGTTAGAAGTGGTTCACGACAGTAATCGAATGGCGGATTCGAACCCACGACCTTACGAGTTCGCGGTCCGCGCCCTGCCATTAGGCTACTGACGCTTCTAAGCTTCTTCTGAAGCTTCTTCTTCTTTATTTCAACTATAATTTTTATTTAATATTATTAATGTATTATAATTTTTATATATTAATATTATTCTAGCCATAACACTTAACACATTTCTTATCTTATTATTCTATACAATAATCCTGTAACATTTATTACAATACTAATTAAATCTCTAATTTATTTAATACATTTACATGTTATTGAAACTTTCATAAAATAATTGTTTCTTTAAATGCAATTATTTTTTTTTAAATTTTAGTACATTATTGAGATGCCAGTTCTAATCCCATACAAAATGAACAACCAATTTCTACATGACCCTCAGCATCACGGTAGGTGGCTAGAGTTATCTCTATCTAATATTACAGCTATCTCTGTTCATTTAGCCATTATGTAACTTATCTCTTATCATAAGAACATAACATGTTTTCACTCAAACAAATGTCTTATACAATGCAATTCTTTTATTCGTATTACATACCTGATTACTACATAACGCGTGACTTAAGTTAATTTATAAACACATTTTTGACAAGCGGGGATTTTTATCATTATATTGAATTTATTTACTTTTAACATATATTATTTTTTAATATGAAATACATTTGCTTTTTACATAAATTGTTATTAATTCAAATATGTGGAGTGGATAAAAGTGGAAAAATAATAAACATTAAAGCGTGTCGCCAACAATCACAGACTGGTACCATACAAAATAGGGTAAATATTTGTTTGCCAAAAAGTAGCTAACTTTGGTATTAAGTTATTAACATAATCACTATCATATGTCACTAAAATAATGTCAACATTTTTCGTTTCTTCAAAGTTGCTATCAGCAACACAAAAATAGCTCTTTTTTACCCCTGTTGCATACATTTGCAGATGCACCTGTGCCTTACATTTTTCTGTGATAACACCGTTTTACAAATAACTGTCTTTTGCTTTTGCCTTGCTAGGGCATTTTATTTCAATAACGGCACCTTTTATTAAACCATCAGGTGATGCCGCAATCATGGGATTCTCTTTGCACACATAAAGCCCATATGGGGTGATTTTTCTTTTCAATATATTACTGACTGTCTTTCGGACAGACAGTTCTAAATTTCTACCTCTTCTCATTGCAGCTGTATCAGGTATTTTTGCCCCCATGATAGAAGCCACCAATGAACCATCTGGTGTATGAAAAACACTTACTTCATGTGCCCTTGAAGCTGTGATACGGCCATGTCGCATCTCATACCACAAGCTGCTTTTGTTCTGCCTCCTTGTTGCTTCTTCAATGGTACTTATCACAGCTTCAGTAAATGTTGCTTTCATCACGTCAATAAACTTGTCTACATCTGCTTTAATTTCTGGAGATTGGTCCATTACTAAACAGTGCAATGAATACTGCATCACATTACTATGCTTAAAATCATGCTGATATTTTAGCAATTCACAGTTATCAATTTTTCTCTTTTTGGCTTCTGAAATAAATTCAGTATAAAGTGCTGATGAACTCGGTCTGTGAGGTACTTCTTTTTTAGACATCTGCTGCACAGTAATATATTTTAGCGTAGTCCCTACTTTGGACAATGTAGGCTTGTCGAAACCAATCACAGGGCGTTCTCGTTACAGATAAATTTAAAAAAAAAATTATGTTTTATTTTCGTTTATTTCGCATAAAATATAAATATCTTAGGTTAAAATAAAGTGAAATATATTTTTTTACCCTATTATCTGATAGGATGACCACAATTTATAGTATATTTTCAATGTTGTCAAATAGCCTATTGTAGTTGGTTTTTATGAGTAAGTTTTTCGTACGTAAACTGATTTTTACTACTGACCGCGACATGTTTGGTATATGGCGAATATCGGTTATAAAATATCACGAAAATAGATAGATGAAAATTTCCTAGAGGTGTCGTAGGTTAATTATGAGAATACCTAATGAATCTATAGTAGCGCCATTCGTTATTCATTCACTTGTCTTAAATATAATGAAATATCGGAAATGAGAGAAGCGTTTTAAGAAATATGATCAAAATTATACCTACAATTAAAACATAGACGTAAGAAAATTTCTAATTATCGACCTTATAACCTGTCTGCGTCCTAAAGTTAGAGGTTGACTCAATGTTTTAATATTCACTGATGAAAGCGGACCTTTTGGCGTACAAACCCTCGTTCGGGATTGTATTTGATACTTTTATGACCCCTTGAAATTATCATGAGTTATTGCCAGGTTATTTAAAAGTAAGTGGTAATTTCTCTGTAAAAATTTTTTAACTTGATAAACATTAAAAAAGCTGATGTATGTAATTTTTCAGAATATTTACGTAAAGTTTGTTGATGTTGAAAAATTAAAATAATAACGCACATTTAAATTTGTCTGTAAGAAGCCACCAATAAACTACAGTCATAGCCACATTGGTAGCGGCTACCGATATGTCATACAGTCATATTGGTAGCCGCAGTCTTTTTTTAATTAAGGTGCTGCTACCCATTCCATCCTAGGTCAGTTTCTCTTTGCAGTTGTCACTATATGAAGTTGCCTATATGAGATAACTCAAAGTCACACAGTGTGCGATGGAAAGGGCTATACTCGGAATTTTTCTGCTGGATAAAGTTTATTGAAAGGATATCCGCAGAAGAACAACTGTAACTGACATAACCCAACAGGACCTGAAGCAAGTTGAAGTTGTAATGTGCTGACAATATTGCTTAGAAAACCGAAAACTGATAGGGAAGAAAATTCAAGCGGCAAATTCGTACTAGCTAGTGCATGGATGTTCAACCCAAAGGTCGAAACTTGATTAAGAATCAAAATGCCAATTCTGTGTCATCCCTGAGAATTGAAATGGAATGGGATGTAAAAAGAGTATCTGGTTCCCGTCACTTCCAACACGAAATGTTTTGGCACTACATTGCTATATATGTATTTTAAGCTTAAAAAAGATAAAGGAAATTGATTGCATTACTTACTTACTACCTTGAAAATAAAACTTAATAAGTTGGAAATATTCAAAGTGAAGAAGAAATTATCACACATAGGGTTCCCCAAGGCAGTATCCTTGGCCCGACATTTTTTTCTTTAGTAGAGAGAGAATATTTATATGCATGATCTCGCTTGTTAAATGTTTTAGGACTTGTCGGTCCAATAATACTTTACGCTTAGTTATTAATTAAAACTTTGTAGGTTCTTAAACTTAACTGGGATGGGACTCCACCCGCTAATTTTGTCAATATATGGCAGCAATGTATTTCATAATTATATTTAATCTCACATTTACAGTTTTCACGTCATATAGGCGTAAATTAAAATTCTCATGTATCACTTCTCGCCTTCGCTGACGCTCGTGCTTACTCATTTAGATGCTAAGTGTCTAGTCAATCGTTTCTGTAAGCATTCTATTCTCCGTATGGGAGTATTGTAATAAGGTGACCATACTGTACCTCAGTATTCTAGTTTACTTCTTACTAAGCAATTGTACATTGTTATGATTGTTCCGGTTTTCTTGAACTCCTTGCCATTTCTTATGACTAATACGAGCGCTTTATTGGCTGCAATTAAAGTTTTGTTTTTATGGGGTACGAAGCTTAGGCGACTATCTAGTGTGACTCCTAAGTCTTGAATCTTTCCCACTTTCAACTTTTCGCCCTAGATGCTATACACTGATTGGTGTTTATTTCTGTTTCGAGTGAAAATAATATACCGATATTTAGATAGATGAAGTGACATTTTATTGTTTGCACCACGTAACTATTAGTATAGTACGTAAGAAAAGGCTGATTGTAAAAAGCTATTATAATTTAAATTAATATTTATGATGAGTTATAAATTTTAATTATAATGAAAAAATTTATTTTTTCTATCTACTTATTTGACATTGTTAATATTTTCATCAAAATTTTAAATCTTATTTACATGAATGAAAAATGACCAGTAGTTGGGATGAAATATTTAATTTTGAAATAAATGTGTGTATTATTTCGTTTGATATTTAATAAATTAATTAACAATAATTTATGGATTATGTACTGTAAATATTGTATTTGAATTTAATTTTATATTAATTATTACTAATTTAATTTTATGTTAATATTACTCCTTTTTAAAAGGCCGGCAACGCACCGGCAATTCGTTTGGTGTTGCAGTTGTTCATTGCGGCGGTAGTCACTTGCGATCAGGTGAGCCGTGTGCTCGTTTACCCCCTCTCCTATATTTTTTTTACATTTAAACTCAATCTTAATATACTACGCCAGTACAGGGTGTCACATGCTCTGTAAATATATTGTAACAACTTTATATTTTGTGACATGCAATAAATGAATTATGAATTATGAATCATCAGCAAATAAGAAGGCTATCGAGTTCTTCAAGAATGATGTAATATCATTTATAAAGAGAGTAAAAAAATAATGGCGCCAGGTGTGATCCTTGTGGTTCTCCTGATAAGGCTGTAAATGAATAAGTTTCAGTACCATTCAATAGTGTCATAAACTTTAAGTGTTTATGACACTAGGTATGATTTACCAAACAAAAAAGAGTTTTGTTACATCAAATGACTTCTATTTTCGCAATAGGGTTTGACCACCTGTCAACACTATCGAAGGCCTTTGCAAAATCAGTGTATATGCTGTCAACTTGCAAGTCATTATGAACTGCTTCTGCTAGTTGCTGCTTTGTAGATCGTTTTGTTACGAAACCATGTTGATTGTAACTAATAATCGGCTTGATATGATTGTACAAGTGAGGATATACTAGTGCCTCAAACGTTTTCGATAGAGTTGAAAGGTTTGAGATTGGACGACAGTTACAGATTAGTTCTTTATTGCCAGCTTTGAAAATAGGAACAATCCTTGCTTCTTTCCATTTTGAGGGAAATATGCCAGTTGTCAAAGAAGTGTTGAAAATAGTAGAAAGAGGTTCAGCTAAGGAACGTGCATATTCATTAAAAATATAGGTGGGATGTTGTCCAGTCCCTTTCCTTTAGTGCAGTCAAGTCTTATTAATTTTTTAACTATTACTTTATGCGTTATTTGTAAGTTCTCCATTTCTGGGAGTACAGTTGGAGTTGGTATTTGTGAGTTGGTGGTCAGCGCCGTAATTTTTACGTAAATTTAAGAAAAGTTTTAAGCGAATAAATCGCAAATTTCTTTTATGTTGTGTGCTTTCTCGTTGCCAAACATTATGATGGCAGGAAATGAAGAAGTATTTTTTCGCATGTGTTTAATATGCGCCTAGAAATATTTGGGATTTTTTGATATTTCCTCTTCAATAGTTGTAACTTATTTTGCATATCTATCTGTTCAGTTGCCTGGATGCTGTCAAATCTGTCGACGACTGCAGCTTCATTTCCCGTCTAACGGCCATGAAATTAAGAGTGTGATCGGAGAATATTTGTCTTATTCTGCGACGGCTCTTGTAGAACTTAGCTCCGACCGCATGGACAGTTTCCACGAGCTTTTCATTCATATCGTGCAGTCTTCTAGGCACTGAAAATTGTTTTGTAACTCGAGCTGAAAGGTTTCGGCAGCGTTGACTACAGACAGAAGAGGGCCATAAGAGCAATTTATGATTTAAAGCCTAAAGAGTCTCTGCGCAAAAATTTAAGAAAATTAATATATTAACTTTGGCCTCTCAATACATTTATGAAAATGTAATGTACGTACACAAAAATAAAAGTAGTTTTACAAAAATAAGTGATGTTCATTCTGTAAATACTAGGAACAGACACAAGCTAGTAGTACCAGTTACTCGTCTCCATCGAGTCAGTAATTCATTCGTGGGGCGATGTATACGCTTTTACAACAAAATTCCAGAAAATATACAAAATTTGACCTGCTCAAAGTTCAAAAACTTTATTAAACTAAGTTTGTCTAAAAAGGGTTATTATAATATTAAAGAATTTATAGATGATAATAACCCCTGGAAATGAGGTGATCGCTACCAAGCTATTTCTAATTTGTTGTGTTGTTAATTTGTGTAAAATACATGATTGTAGGCTGTTATTTTAAAAAAATGTCCCGCTGGGTTTCTTGCTGGTTCTTCCCAGGACAGAGGTTTTTTTTCGAACCAGTGGTAACTATACAAAAGAGTGACTTTCAATAAGTATTATTTATAATCTATATTGAATAAAAAAGTTTCTGTTTCTGTTTCTTCATTAAACGAGACGTCTGCAACTTAACGTTTAAGTTCAGTTTGCCTCTCACCATTCGGTGATCGCTATCAGTTTTAAGCAATAATACACAAAAATTCACACACACACACTCACAATACACACAATAATATTCGTGTGTTTTTTTTCTTTGGAGAAAAGTAAAAACTAATTTTTGAAATTATCCAATAATTAAAAGAACGGAAATAGGGTTGCATAATTTTGACTTAATTCATTCATTTATTCATCAACAGGCTATCAAAAGTCCACTGGTGAGCTTAGGACTTTCTCATAGATTGCCTCATAAAGATATTTTTCATAGTTGCCATTCTTAAAGAGCGTGTTAAAAAGCGGAGAATTTTATTATTTAAGTTGTTATCGGGAAGT